TCCAACTTTCCCAAGTGGCTTCTTAGAAAACAGAAAACATGGAAAGCAAAAGACTGCATTTTCTGTAGGTGAGTATTCTAACCAAGGAAATGCCTTGAACCAATGATATTGAAACCTGCGTGGGTGGCTTTCTGGACCAGTAGGAGGGTATATTTCCTTTTTAAAGTGATATGCTCCACACTTCACATACGCTTTTCTTGCTTTCTCTTGGTCATTGACAGGAAGATCCCAAAGTTGGCAACGCAGCCCTGGGTCTCTTTCCACTACCAGAACACCACTACCATCATTGACCCTATTAATTCTAAGTGGAGCCTCTTCTTCTTCCTCCTCCTCAATAGGTTGCTCCTCCTCCCCTCCATCATCTTCTTTTTCTTCTTCCTCCTCCTCTCCCCCTCCCCCTCCCTCTGCTTCTTCCAAATCAGGACAAGCAACATCTGAAACCAATGCCTCATCAAGTCTAATTTTCTTCTTATAGAAAGAATCCATAGTCTTCATTTTATTTTTAGCCATGAGTATCCTACAGAGATTAATCACGGTTCTAATAAAAAACCAGATCCACAAATAGATAATACAAATAAGAAGAACAAAGTGACAGATCTGTGACCTTTTACCTGGATGAGTGCTTCCTGATGTGCTCCAAACGCAGAAAGAGAGAATTAAGAAGCGGTTCTTGGGGAATTTCCTCCTCTTTCCGCCTTGGTCTTGGAAGAACAGAGAAGGAGAGACAGCGAGACGCTTCAGGAATGAGAAAGAAAAAAATGGGATGGCTCGTGTGTGTGGCTGGGAGTGAGAACAAAAGTCAACAAAGCAAGGCACTTTCAGTGGGATCTTCTGTGCACAATACTAGCACTCTATTTTGTCAAAATGCACTTTTGGAGAGAGGCATACAGCAGACCACATGGTTCTCTACATAAATAAGCATAGGTATTAAAAAAAATCCTGCATGTTGGGGGGAGCCGTGGACCCTGCTGGTCCCCCCTAGCTCCGCCGTTGCACCCGATTGGACCCCCTACTTCATCCTCATATGTTTTGGTTGTTTGTGAAAACTCAAACTCAGTTTGTATATGGGAAAGAAATGTGGATGTACAGGCAGTTTGCTACATTGAATGCAGCCCACCCTAGACAACTTTAGTTCTTTCTTTTCTCTCTCTTTCCTCATCCTAACCAATCATATGCATGTGAATGAAAACTCCGCGTGGATGGACAAAAGCAGACACTTTTGGAAACTGCACGATGTGTCAGTGGACATATAGGGGTGGGTCATATTGGTCCAGTCTAATTGTAGATGCTCTTATCCCCTTAGCAGGTGAGGTTAAGAGAGAGAAAACCATGACTTCCAAACGATACGTGCGTTGCACGTGCATGCTTACTAGTGCATGTAAAGGTATCAAGTAACAAAATTGTACTGTGTTTGGATGTGTGTGTAATCAGACCACATAACTGGATGAGTTCTATAGATTGTATGTAGAACGGACTCACCACATGATCTTGGCAAATGTGAATAAACAAGGACTTGGTGGCGAACGATGGCAATAAACAGATCATGGAAAAGGATCTTGGCGGCTTGTAAGGATTGTAGAGGAGTCTAGGCAGAGGGACAAGAGGGGGTCGTCCTCGGGTCTGTCAACGTCAAGGGAGATATGCGCACCGGGCTGGAAAACTTCACGGTGAGGCGATGCATGCAATGCAATGCAAGAGGCCGTGTGAGAGGTAGGTGTGGGCATCGATCGACCTACACATGCAGTGCGGTTGACTTGAAGCTTGAAAGGGATGGGCAGAGTATGTTAGGTTATCTAGGGTTCGAGGATGAGGAACGAGGATTAGAAGGGTCAAATGGTGCCCAGCCGAGCAAGGAAATTCGACCAGGAAATTCGATAGCGACGACGACGTATCCTTGGTCGGGGGTCACTTGGTCAGGCTTGTTTGAAGAAACCAGAACCAGCTCGTGCAAAGTCAGCACTAAACCAACTAGCTAACCAATTAACCAATTAATTTGTTACATTATCAGGAGTTGGAAGTTGACGGAAGAACGCAAATAATTCACGCAGCCCAGGCGCCGTATACATGAGACGGAGAAACGTGAATCTTAGGAGGTGTTTGGTACTCTCGTTATAAAGAAATATATAAGAGCATTTAGATGGCTGAGTACAACCAAAGGTAACAGGACTAGTAATGGAATCAAGCGGCGGTGGGAGTGGGACACGGTGTAACAGGTGCATCTACTCTTTTGTTTGTTTCATGCATGTAAAGGTACCAAGTGACTGGGTGAGATCTGTAGATTGTATGCACAGAACAGACTCACCACATGATCTTGTCAAATGCGAATAAACAAGGACTTGTCGACGAACGATAGCAATAACAGATCATGGAAAGGGATCTTGCCGGTTTGTGCGGATAGAAGAGGAGTCTAGGCTGATGGACAAGAGGGGGTCGTCCTCGGGTCCGTCGGTGTGAGGGGGCTCCTCGCCGAGATGCAGGCCAACGAGCGAGCTCCGGCGGCTGGCGTGGTGGCGCTGACCAGCGGCTTCGACGAGGCAGAGGAGATCGTGTGAAGGCGAACAAGATTGGGGCAACGTGACGAGGAGGATAGGATCGTGGGGAGGCGGAGAGGACGGTAACGCAACATGATTATGGTGGGGGACACGGGCGGTATCGAGCAAAAGTGTACATAATGTTACGGTGGAGTCAATTACGACGCAGCGTTACCAAAATGCACATGATGTTTTGGGATACTGCTGTAATTGGATGATGGACGAAAATCCCCGAACAAAACACCTTCAATTTCTTCTCTCTCTTTATCTGGACTTCCTTAATTTCAATATCACTGGTTTGCTTTGTCTGATATGATCTCACAACATATGCAGTTAGCACATCTTTGGATCACGTTTCCGATCGCTGTCACAGACTGGGGATTTGAACAAGTCCTGGTCCAATCAGGACTGTCTTTCCCCAACAGGACCTTTGCCTAGAAAAAAGGCATAGGCCAGGTGTTAACTTAATGGCGCTCTCATAAACAGAAAAAAAGTGAAAGAACAATGTGCAAGGTACATGGTGCTGAAGGATCAGCTTATAAGACATCAAACGAAACAAGCAATCTAAAATATATACACAAGAAGCGACGCCTGAAAGTCATACTCCTCAGCCACCAAGCAAAACACCAACACTGGGAGTGAAGGTAGGCGATGAACATTTATCAAGCAATGCACTAGAGGGAGATCATGCCATTGTCTTACACAATATGGTCGGACCGAGTTGAAATTAATCCCGCCTCCACCGTCGAAAAGGGCCCACCCGCCCTCTCGCCCTACTTCGAAGGGCGCCACACCGTCGGTCGGTAGAGTCACTCACCCCTGAGCTCGAACGGTAGCAACCAACAGCCGGTCAGGATCAACATCTTCATCGCCCACAAAGACTACTTTGGTTGACACTGGAGTGACACTTCGGAAGGAGCGGTGGCATATGAGGGATGCCGCTGAAGCATAGCCCCAACCCACCGGTAACTAAGCACACTTCCAGCCCCATTTTCCCACGATGGCGCTTTCAAGAAGGGGACAATGCAAGAGCATTGCCGACTGATGGGGTTATGTACCTAGGGTAGGGTCACGGACCTGTCCCAAGTAACTTACCCTAGGACATCCCTAGAAGAGGTTGCCTTCCAGTCGACCAACGAGGACTCACTCGACCAACGAGGACACACTCGACTGGCCTGAAGGACTCGACCACGAAGACTCACTCGACCACCAGGAGGTCAAGAGGCACTCTGCACCGCAACGGCCTGTAATTAAGTAGGCTTTATGATAATAAAGGCACTTTATGTGAGGCGTTACCAGTAACGCCCCAGACTTAACTCACCTTAAACCTTCTCCTACGTGGGCTGGCTGGGGTCCTGGCGCACTCTATATAAGCCACCCCCCTCCACAGGCAGAAGGGTTCGGCATCTTGTAATCCATACATTCATAATCCACTCGACCGCCTCCGGGCTCCGAGACGTAGGGCTGTTACTTCTTCCGAGAAGGGCCTGAACTCGTACATCCTTTGTGCTTACAACCTCTCCATAGCTAGGACCTTGCCTCTCAATACCTACCCCCCACTCTACTGTCAGGCTTAGAACCACGACACCGACGCCAAATCTAGAAAGGATTGAGTTTTCGCATGGGAACCCATGGGAGGAGGGGAAGGGTCCGAATGAGCACAGACATCATAAACATGAGACTGTTGTTGGTGCATTGAGCAATGAGTTAAATCATGCATCTTCTCATTTTGACCGAAGATTGATATTCCGCGTCATCCATATTTAAAAAAAATCTGAAAACAGCATCATTAAGCACCTACAGACCTATTCAGCTTCATGTGTGTTGTAACAAGTCAAACTTAATCGTGAGAAAATTCACGCTATTGAACACACGGATAATGAAGAACACAATCGAACCAGATTTTGTGTTAGCAACTCAGCATCCTCACAAAACTGAAAGCGCCCTACACACAATCTCTGGCATATGACACATTTTTATGGCCACTGCTATGTTGCACCACATAACATTACTTGTTGTATTTTATTCAGTTATACAGTATCTAGCGACAACTTACCAGAGAGATAAACACATTAAATTTGTCCATACTTCTATCCCATACTCCTTTACTATAGCACCACACGTAGTGCATGCATACACGCCCGCATGCAACGCATATGTATACGTGGAATTGCAGATACTCCCTCCGGTCCTTTTTAGTTTGCATATATATAAGATTTGACTGAAGTCAAGCGTCGTAAAGTTTGACCAACTAAGTGAAAAAAAGTGTCAACATTCACGGTATGAACTGAATACCACTAGATGTGTCATGACTTAAAGTTTCATATTATATAACTTTAGCATGGCAGATGTTGATACTTTTTCATATAAATATGGTTAAACTTTGTGAAATTTGACTTCAGAGAATTCAAATATGCAGAGTAAAAAGGACCGGAGGGAGTACATTTCAAAACAACCATCGATGTAAATCTACTCGAGGTTGTAGCAGCAGTTCTTGAAGGCGTCCATGTCGCGGCTGAAGAGGGGCACGTAGGCGTCCACGCTCCCGTCGCCGGCGAAAGACGGCAGCAGGATGAGCAGGCCCTCCACCGGCAGGTAGCTTGGCATGAAGAAGAATGGCTGCCCGCCGCCGAAGTCGAGGTCGTAGAACGGGATCCGCAGCCAGCTGTCCACCTCGATGTTGGGGCTCAGCGCCATCTCCGCCGCGTCGGCCGTCGGCACCAGCCGCTCCTTCTGCACCGCCTCGGAGCTGGCGAAGTCGATGAAGGACTCGAAGTAGCCGCCGCTGATCCGAGCCACCTCCCGGTTGATGAGCTCCACCGCGTGCTGCAGCGGCCTCATCACGAGCTCCTGCGCCGTGGCGGTGGGCCGCGCCCAGAGGACGACGTTGCCGGTGTAGCCGTCCGGCACCTGCGGGCTCATCCGCGCTCGCCCGTCCACGGCGATGGCCACGTTGGTGGAAACGCTCCCGTCGAGCCCGCGCGCCTTTGTCACGCACCGCCAGAGGTGGGCGACCAAGCACCGCAGCGTGCTGTACGGCCGTTGCGCGCCCACAGACGCCCGCGACTTGAGCTTGGAGATGAACTCCAGGCTGAGGTGCACCTTGTTTACCACCACCACGTCGCCGTCCCCGGCGTGTCCTTCGTCGTCGTTTTCGTCAATCTCCTCGTAGGGCTTGAACTCTACTCCGCGGTGCTCGTACTCAGCCTGCGGCAGATCGCGTGGTTTAAAGAAGGAGGCGCGGTCGTGCACCGGGACGGGGTCGACGGCGACGCCGCGGGTAGCCTGGCTCCACGCTAGGAAGAAGTTGCTGGTGGCACGGCCGTCGGACACGAGGTGCTGCGCGGTGAACCCCACGACGATGGACCCGCACGCGAAGCGCGTGACCTGAATGAGCATCAGCTCCTCGGGCCCGTCGTCGCCGCTCGGGTGCAGGCTCAGCACCTCCGTGGTCGGCTTCATCGGCATGACGCTGTCCAGCGCCACGTCGGCCGTCGCCTCCACGAACCGCGCTCCCGCGTCGGTGAGCAGGATCGCGCGGTCGCCGGTGGCCGCGTCGACGCCGAGCCGCCCAGCCCACTCGCGGTAATCCACCAGCGCCCTGGCCAGGCCGGCCTCAAGGACGGCGTTGGGCGGCGCCGGTGGGCGGAACGCGTAGATGACGGAGATGTACGCGTCGAAGTTGGCCTTGTCGAGCACGGTGAGCGGGACGACGTCGTCCGTGCTGCCCGGAGGTGCACCGCAAGCGCCGTAATCGGGCTTGACGGGCCTGGACGAGAGCATGGTGATCTTCATGGCGATAAGTGCAAGGTTACGTACAAAGAAAACAAAAACCTTGTATCACTCTATGTCTATGACCGTGCGGCGCAGTGAGCTGTTAGCTAAAATCATCCAGTGATGTGTATATATAGATAGCTAGAGATTGTTAATGCACGAGAAGAGATCAAAGGAGGGTAGGTGAACGCTACGGCTGAATATGTCAGCTGAATATGATTCTCTAACAATTATCTTCTGGGTGAGGGTTATGATTTCTCGGCGCCGGTCAGCCGTGGACGTGGACGTGTACTGCTCCCACGAGCACCATGTCTGCGGCTCTTCATGCATGCACATGCATGTCTGGTACACTAGCTATTGTACTGCTCCAACAAATGCAACGACACGGTCGAGCAGCTCCTCCATGCACTGTAGCCGGTTGACGGTGCCGCCTGTGTTCAACGGTGGTACCTGTGGCGGTGTGGTGCTTCAACGCTGGGAGTTGGTGAGCAGTGCGAAAATCGAGCCGCCACGTTCAGACGGATAGGTTTGGGCTGAACGGACATACCCCTACATACGCATATACTCCCTCCGTTTCAAAATAGATAACTCAACTTTGTACTAAAGTTAGTACAAAGTTGAGTCATCTATTTTGGAACGGAGGGAGTAGTTGCGTCGTTGTTCTGGGAAATATCCAAAAAAAAAATTTGATGGGCTGGGAAATATCCAATTTTGTGTGTGTAAATATCCTTCTTTCGTCTAAAGGAAAAGGTGGTGTTCCTGTCGGTTCCTCGGAAAAAATGGTTACGTTGGTGTGCGGTTGATGTAACTCCAGCAAGCGGCTACGATCGAGTGGCTCAGCTCCTAGCACAATGCGTACTCGTACTGATCGTGCGTGTGGGACGTGGAAAATGGGGCAAGAGGAAGCATGGTGTCGTGTATCGATCGGGGTACGCTGTCGACCGCCAGAAATTCGATGTGCACGTTACCCGATCGAGCGTGTTTCCAAGTTTGTAGATCGTGGTCAGATACTTAGACTAAGACAAGCTTGGACTAAATGCTGCTACTATTGTCTACAGTGATGAGCCTTTCTAAGAAAAAGTCTACAGATAAGCCATGGAATCATCCCCGGGTCAAACGCTACTGCTTCTACTAGTCTGTGGCTGTACGTGCAGCACACAGTTGTCTTGAAGTAAATATCATAGGCACTATCGGGCATTTTTGGTCGTCATCTGAATCTCCAATCTAAATGCGCAGCTTAAGTGCGAGTCTCAAAATAAGCACGGGACCTGAGCCTAGCTGCTTGGCATGTAAGGTGCTGCTAAGCCCACAACCAGGAGGCGAACCTCAGAGGCTCACACGACGTCGCTGTTGGAATAACATTTGTCGTCATCTATCCAATAAGTTTAAGTTTGCTTAATTCGAAGCTCATTTGCAGAAGTTATGACAGTCCAGGCTTTCATGCTTCCATCTGTTTTGTTTAGGCCTTTTTGTTGCTCTCTAGCAGTAGTGCTACTGCCCTGGGCAGCGGTAGTACCGCTTGCGCGATACTTCCGTGGTTCCAGTTCCGCAGGCACTACCGCTTGTTTTCGGGGTTCTGGACTTGTTTTCCTCTGCGCGGAAGTAGAGCTGCAGTAGTGGGCGGTAGTATCGCTCAGTGCAGTAGTACCGCGCTGCTCTACTCTACTACCGCGGTTTCACCTGTACTCGCAACACCTAGCGGTAGTACCGCTGGTGGGAGCGGTAGTACCGCTCCGGCAGCACTGCCGCCCTCTTGAGTTTCTTAGTTGCACGTCACGACTGAAACTATTGTGCCAATGGAAATACCACTCGCCCGAGCGGTACTACCGCTTGTGTGCGGGCTGAGGGCATAACTGTTGGATTTGTGGGTGCCTATAAAAGGGGGTCTTCTTTCCCATTAAACAATATCTCTTGAGCTCGTGTTCTTTCCCCATTATTGACCTTCTTCGAGCTTGCTAACTCTCAATCTTTTCATGGACGCTTGTTAGTTTTGAGGAAAAAGAGATAGGAGATCTAGATCCACATTCTCACCAACCACTTTCTCCTGTATGTGAGGGGAACCCCTTGGATCCAGATCTTGGAGTTCTTTGTATTATCTTCGTCGTTCTTTTTCTCATTTTCCTCCATAGCATTAGTTGTTGTGGTGGGATTTGAGAGAGAAGGACTTTGGCACTCCGTGTGCCCTTGCCATTGCATTTGGTGCATCGATTTGAGTTCTTCACGGTGATATATGGAAGTGAAGTTTGAGAGCTTGTTACTCTTGGGTGCTTGGTACCGTAGAGCTTGTTCCTCTTGGGTGGTTGGGCATCCTAGACGGTTGTTGGTGTCTTGGAGCTCAATCGTTGTGATGTAAAGCTTCGAGCAAGCATCAGGGTCTTCAATTGAGTTATGGATGATACGACCGTGTGTTCTGTCACTACCGGTGTTACTGTTATTTCACCTTATCGTAAGGATGTATATGCACCATATATACCAAGGTACCTTCTTATCATCTAGGGATATGCAGAACAATACTTTGTCTCGATTAGTATGAGCTAGATTGCTAATTTGCATTGTACTAATGAGAGCAAGATTATGCACGTCAAGGAACGAGTTAGCCACGTGTTAGAGCATCTCCAACAGAGGCACTAAAAGTAGCCCGCGCTGAAAAAAACGCTAATTTAGCGCGCGGAACATCTCCAACAGATGCTGCAAAAGCCAGCACGCTGTAAAATCCATTCGGCGCGCTGAGAATTTCTGCATCGCATGCGCTATATTTGGTGCGCGGCATACAGCGCGCTAGACAATCACGCGCGAAGACAAGTGCTTTGCTCTCTTTTGCTCATCCCGCCTCTGCCCTTCTGCTCGCTGGCTGCAACTCGCCGCCTCGAGTTCGCCGGCCCGGAGCGCGTGCCGGCCGGGAGCTGCCGTTGCCCTTCTACTCGCCGCCTCCCTGCAGCTCGCCACAACCTCGAGCTCGCCGGCCGGGAGCGCGTGCGGTGTCCAGAGGCGAGCGGTGCATGCGGAGATTTGGATTCCAATCCATTGCAAGCTAGCTTGCTCCAACTATTTAAGGGAAGCTAGCTAGTTCGTGTTTGCGATTCCAACGAAATCACAACAAGCTAGCTCGCGTGCCGTGGCCCGCGGAAGATGATTTGCAAGCTAGCTTGCTCCAACGATGGGGGACCTAATTGCATTTTTGTTTTGGTCAGATGGATTTATTTGTAAATATGTAGGGACCTATTTGTTGTAGACATGTTTGTGGCGCTTTATTTTTTAGTGCGTCTGCTGAACTGCTGCGCGCTATCCACTACCTGCTGTATTTTTGTGCGTCTGCTGGATTGAATCGGCCACGGCGTGCTAAAATTACTAAAATGACGCTGTAAAATTATTTTAGCGCGCCGTTTTTTTGGGCGCCTGTTGGAAATGCTCTTACCAAGTTGTGTATGCATGCAACCAATAACGTGTAGAAGTAGGATTGAGCAAACAAAAGAGTCTGCATGCAACATTGATGCGCCAGAGATAAGCAAGGTCACGTGCATGCATGGGAAATTAGTCCATTACGTAGCTACAATACAGAAAAGAGTCCTGACCAAATACAGGTTCCATCAGGTGCGGCCACCCGATCAGGAGTTTTACTCCGTGACGTACATGAAGATTAAAGATTTGCTTTCTTTGAAAGGAACCGGATGGGGTCCACCTGCAGACTACACGAGAAGCCTCACCACCAACCAAACAAGTCATCATTAGTTTTGTTTCGTTAGATTAAATCAAGTCAGTTGTTATCTTTTGGTAGGACAAGTTTGTTTTTCCTTTGAATTAGCTAGAGGTGTGCCCAGAGTGTTGGTCAAACCATGGTAGGCTCGGCTATACTAGTATAAATAGCCAGAGTATGGTCATTGTAAAGACAGGTTATATTATGAGAAAATAGACACGATGCGCTTTCAAGGGTAGACACCCGTATCAAGTTTTAGAGGAATCTTTAGAAAACCTCTGTCTTGCGATTTCTTGGTAGAAATTGTTTTTGCGCGTAAGTATCATCGTCGAGATTGATTTTCTCGTGCTGGGCCGCAAGGTTCAAACCCTTTATTTCGTGCATATCGCGTGCGCGGGCGAGAGGCTACTGCTGCTGAAGGTGGAGTGCCATGAAAGGTCGGGCCACAACAACGGATCGGATCTCGCCATCGAGTTTCGGTCTTTATCAGGTGGTATTCAGAGCATCAGGTTGTTCACGACACTATGGAGAAGATGGTGAGGGCATCGTCATTCAGTAAGTTAAGCTATGGATTTCAGTTGAAGGAGGAAGGCCGTTGGACCGGGGTTTTTCACATGTGTGTGGTGGTGAGAGAGAGATCATGTGCCATGACGATCGACCACATGAATTTGATCAACGCTGCAAGCATCGAGATGGTGGAAAAGCTGAATCTACCAATGACACCAAGTCCACAACCATACTTGTTTTGTTGGGGTCAAGAAGAGCTCACTGTCACGCAGCAAACTAAGGTACCGTTTTTTGTTGGGAAATTATTTTTGCGAGGTTTTGTGCGATGTGATTCCCGCACCGATGATTTCATGTCACTTGTTATTGGACGAGCCATGGTACAAAAAGCATGATGTTGCGTATGATTACAAAACACACAGATATACCGTCAAGAGGGGTAAGATGTGCAGCCTCATGCCAATGGATGATGAGCGTTTTATTTCTTGGAGGAAAGAACATCTTGAGAAGATAAAAGAGGAAAAAGAAGAAGAAAAGAAGAAGGTTGAAGCTACTGGAATTTGTATGGCTGTTGTTCAGTCCGTAGATAAAAATATTGCTGAAAATATTAATTCGAAATTGGGGATGGTTTCGTTTCAAGGAGGAGAGGATGATACGACCGTGTGTTCTGTCATTACCGGTGTTACTATTATTTCACCTTATCGTAAGGATGTATATGCACCATATATACCAAGGTACCTTCCTATCATCTACGGAGATGCAGAACAATACTTTGTCTCGATTACTATGAGCCAGATTGCTAATTTGCATTGCACTAATGAGA